ATATTGTTGTTAATGAGAGTGTATTGACCACAATGAAACAAATTTGAACACAAATGAATGGATAATTTCTGTAAATGAACAGCAAAAGGTGTGTTATGTAGACATTCGTACTCCTTGGATTTTCCGTGTTGCCAAAGTGCCCTCATTTCTTGATAATTAAAACCATTTCAAAAACCAATATCGACCAAAGCCCCTGAAACTAATTCCTTTTTTATTACAATTAGTCTAAAAAAGGATTATTAGCAGTTATTTTCATCTTTTACACTGCTGAAACCAGCTTGGTGGTTTTGGCCAAAGTGAACTTTTGAGATTCCTCTCGTAGGGAAGTCAGTTCTTGTCAATCAGGTCAGTGATCTGAATAAGCTAAGCTAGCTACTGTTTGGCGGTTTATTATCCAACCCGTGCAAAACAGTAATAGCTCGCAAAGTTCTGCTTAATCCTTCATCTTTTAGTCCTTTGAATCTATTAATTATCCGTATGTTTTAATATTCTGTATCTCGGCTGGGGGCGACATATTCTTTGCATCATGGTGCCATGTTTATTTGCACCTAAAATTGTAAAGAAATGTACTGTACATTTGTTGACAAAACTGTCTTTTGTACAAAGTGATAACAAGCGCGAAAACCAGTTGAGCTTAATTTGGAAGCAGACTTTCGCGTGCTCAACCCGTTTTTTTCGAGCGTTGTTAAAAAAGTATCGAACACTGTTAGGCGAAAATCTTTTATTTCTACCGTAGCACCTAGAATAAGGATCTTGTCAAACTATGCTACAAATATACCAATAAATATGCCAGCAAAACTTGAGCTTGCTAGCAAAAAAATAAATGGGTTTATTTTTTACTCTGCTATTCGTCGACATAACGGCGTTTGAATGTTATTTATTGCGTATCAGCAGCGAAGATTTTTGCAATAATTAGTCTCTACAGCAACGCAAGAAGGCTAAATGCGAAAACATTTTTCACTTTCAAAGGACGTATACGCCCTTTTCGGCATAGTTTTCGTCGCCACTAGCAATAGCAAAACAAACATTTAAATCGTTATTTTCGGAACTTCCGACTTTTCTGATTAGCTATCCTGACAACTTTTGTCTTAATGTCAGGTTGAGCTAGGGAATACTATCACTTTCGTTCTAATTTAGCTAAACGTGTTCTTCACAGTACAGCAAATTAAAATAGTCTTCCATTCGTGCAGTGGCTTCCTCGGGTAATGCGTCTATTGTACATCGAGACATGTCTTGTATCGGATGTTCAATTTCCATGTCGTTGTCGGCTTCTTGGGATTAAATACAATGTTTTTCTACTTTCTCTTTTCGAAACTCTTGTAAAAGTTTCTCGATATCAGTTCTTGGCTCCTCGTCCGACCCTTCCACCCACTCCAGGAAAAACTTGTTCATCTTCTCTTGCAGTGTAGCGTTTGGAATGAAGCCAAGTTCTTGTTCACTCGAGAGCAGTTCGTTTTCGCTGGGTTCATTTGGTTCAACGGAGGATACACGGCCTAGTGACTCGCTGTTTTCATCATGACAGTTTGGTTCTGATCCCTCTGTTACTGGTGTAGGGTTCTTCTTAAACTGTCTTCCGAAAATGGATGGCCTAACTGGGGACGCAACGTTTTTGTTTGTAGCGCTTTCCGGCTTTGGTCTGGATCGCGTCAGTCTAGCTGTCAGACGTTCTTTACAAGCCATTGCATCTTGACTTGTAGGAATATTGTCGAAATTTGGGAGCGAATTCCTTCTTTTCCACCTCAACTCAGGCGCCATCAACGTGCCTGCTGAAGTTACCGAGCTTAACATTCTGATTCGCCTTGCTCTCTTTGTCGATGGCTAGTTTACTGTGACCTCTCTCGGGTTGTAGTTTAATCGCTTTTAGTTTGGATAAATCGAATGATTGGTCTCTGTCTAGCGCCAGCCCTTGAGGGAGGCTAGCCCTTCTCTGTCGCAAACGTGGATGGTCCAGTTTCGACCCGGCGAGCCCCATCATACTGCTTGATGAGCTGGTGTTTTTCGGCGGCACGTTCCCTGGTTTTGTTTGTGGATAAAGTTTACTGAGAAGTGTGTCATTTAGATTAATTCCCGCTATGGAATGACGGCCAGAGCGAAATGAAGGAGTCGAACAAGATGGTGGTAACATTCCCGCATCGGGAATTTTTTTCTTGAAACTGCCGATTCCTTCCTCTACGGTAGGAACAAACCTGGACGGACTAAATTTACTTTCTTGCTTTTCAGAAGTTCTGTGGCGCGAACGTTCTTGAAAAGGTTTAAAACAATTGCGATCCACAACCTGTTTCGAGGATGTTCGCATTTTGGTATTCTCGTCTCTTGATGTCACTGCGAGTACCGAGAATTTTGCGGTCTTCGAGAAGCTGCTTCCTCAAAGACATCATTTCCTGATCAATTTTTCCGAGCTGTTCTCTTTTTGCGTTATTTATGTGGCTTATTTGTTGTTTGAGTTTCCTCTGTTCCTTCGCGTTGCTCTGCATCACTTGTCCTATCTCGGAATTCCATCTGGGTTCCATTTTCAAATTGAACATGACGCGGACTTTGTGCGAGCGGCTCATCTGAACAGGACGAAGCCAATCGATAGCAATCGGTGAACAGTTTTTTTGTGGTTATCGATTGGTCATCGATTGGCCGATACCAATCGATACCAATTAACTAATTTTATCGATTGATATCGATTGATCAATTGAATTTCCGATCATCGGTTTCCATCGATTGGATACCCCGGGAAGCCATCTTTAAACAGACAGGGTCATCGCTACTTTGCGAAACTGTTCCCATCGGGAATTACGTAACTGATATATTAAATACGCAATTAGCGGACTGTTTACTTACCCCGAAGATGACCGAGTGTCGGAAACGTTCGGTGTGTTTACTTTTTAACTTTTTTAGCCTTGCAAACATAAATTACTTGAAAATCAAGGCGAATATCATGGACATATTGTAAAGAATTTTTACGTATTGTTAAAAGATCGGTTATGCTGATTATACATTGAACTCATTATCTCTTTTCTGATTGGCCGAAAGCGTACAGTGAATTTTCGAAATCAGCACCTGTGACGTCATCTAGCTGCGGATTATACAATAATCATGTCAAGGACACTCAAGGTCAAGGGTAATCATGTTATGTATGACCGCGGTACGTCAAGTTCGTGGGCTTTGTGTTGCTTGCCGTCAGTGAAGAAGCAAAAAACATGACTTCCATTTTTTTTTTTTCGTTTAGTGTATAATAAAGCAGTTATTAGATTTGGTTTTTGTGGTATCCAGAATAATCAAGGTCTCGGTGAGGGTTATCAGCCTCGGCTTCGGCTGATAACCCCTACCTCCTGCCTCGACCATGTTTATTCTGGATATCACAAAAACCTCATCCAATAAATGTTTATAATCGTCTTTCCAGTAGGGCGGTTTTGTTTTTTTGGAGAAAACGAAAGCGATCTGCGGCTGTTTCCAATGAGCAAAGTATTTACAAAGATTGGGACGCGAGGACCTCGAACCTAGGCCCTCTCTCCTTTGACTCCAGTCACCAGCTCTCCACGAGGTACTGGAATCAAGATGGCGGCTACTGGAGTCGTGTAAGATACTTTATCTTTTTATACTTTTTCACGTTGGATCTGTCCCTCGTTCTCTTTAATGTCAGATACTTACGTATCCTTTTTTACCTTCTGTTGGGTTTTTCTGTGCTTTCTTTCTTATCAGACGTCCTAAAACACATCGTGGAAAGCGTGTAATCGAACAACGTGCTCCCAAAGATTTGGAAAACACAAAAACTGCGTTGTTCATGCGAGGTGGTAGGACCAGCGAAACAGTGACTCAAGCCATGAAAGACCTTGTAAGTTACAGGAAAGGCGGTGTAAATTAATCTGTGGACCGGCCAAATGTAAATAAACAAGGTCGTTCAGCCACCATTTGAAGTTTTAATTTCTTTTAGCCTACTTATAATATGGAGTAATAAAGTCAGGAAAGGGTTTGCTGGGAAGAGCCCCTGCGAAAAGCAGGAACTTGTTTTGCTCGTGGAGACCGTTAAAGAAAAAAGAAATGGCGCAGAGTGATTAACTGAAGCAGTCAGTTACCTGCAACACTTTAAATAGTTCAGGATTTAATTTCTGTGAACTAGATACCCATTAAATAGTGATATAATCAGTATCCTGTGGGCAATCTTTGTTTCTTTATCTTGCAGTGTTTACTTAAAAAGCCCAATTCAGTCATGTTTCAAAGGTAAGTGCTATAAATGTACTTATAACTTCTAAACCTCCAAAGATTTTTAATTCTGATAGAATTTTTGTTAGACATTTCTTTCACTGATAGTGGTACATCAAGACAAAAAAATACATTTATTACAAATTTATCATCTAGCTAGGTGATGGTTTTCCGTCAAAGGCCTCTTATTAGGTGGTTATGATATTTTTCAAATGCACTGAAATTGTGTTATGATTGTAGGAAAAATATCATGAGACCATTTGAAGATCACACCTCTCTAGTAAGTACAAATATGTAAAAGGTAAAGTCTGCATACGAGCCAAGTGGCCCATCAGGCCAGCGCTTATCTATGGTTTCTGCAGGATGAAGCAACTAGGAGTATTTCTTCTCCCCCCTGGATGAGATGCTAGTCCATCACAGGGTTGCCCACCCAGCATTAAATTCCCTGGTACCCAGTTATGCACCTGGGTAGAGAGAGGCACTGTGAGAGTAAAGCGTCTTGTCTAAGTAGCCAACAAAATGTCACCGGCCAGGTCTCATATACAGACTTTAATTGTTTGTGTAAATGACCAATTTTGCCATTTTTTGCTAAAAAACCAGACAAATACTTCAGTAGAAATGCCACCCGAGATCATGGGGTAGATGGTGATTTCCATTTTTAGTGAGCTACTTTTGATAACCCTGATCCTGACTTTGAGCCAGATATTTTCCTATCTGGCCCTCACACTCAGTCAATAAGTGATTGGTACAATGTGCACTATCATTAACTGTGGTGAATGTTGCAAATTAGAAACTGAATTATAAAATGTTATAGCCGTCTTGCTTAGTTTTGCTCATTTTGGAAAAAAAAAATAACAGTATTATTATTGAACAGTCATCCCAATGTTTATGACATTTTCACAGACAGGTAAATGTTGAAAACAATACCCAAGGTGACGGTCTTTCTTGAGATTTACAAGGTCAACTCACAGAATTTAATTGACTGCAACTTCTGATTTATTTCAGGAATTCTTCAGTGTTAGAAATGATGCATCTTTATTCCTTTTTGGTTCACATTCCAAGAAAAGACCTCACAATCTTGTCATTGGTATGTTGATCTCTTTGCGCTACAGTAAACATCCATCTATATGACGCTAGACTTCTCGAGGTTACCTCCAAAAAATTCTTATACATGTGGTGTTTACTGAGAATTTACAATAGGCTATTTAGGTTCTTATGTAGGATAAGAAAGGTGCTTGTTATATGTCCAAACATGTGTGGACTAGTCCTTCTTTATTTATGAGAAACGTATCAACTCATTGGTGCTTGTGCTGGCTGTAACAGGTGGTGTGAAAGCCATCCATAAAATGTCTGTTTTTTAAGCACTCAGTAACGACCACTGTATTATTTTTGTTCATATAAGTCAACACATGCTTGTACCTCTAACGTTTGATTACAGTTCATAAAGCAATTGTTTACTTCCTAGGACGTTGTTTTGATGGTCATATCTTGGACATGATTGAATTAGGAATTGACAAATTTATATCTCTAAATGAGATAAAGGTGAGACAAGAATGCATTTGGTCCTCAAGATTCCATCATAAAATGTCTATTAAATCTACATGTGTACCTATAAGCAGGGCTCGAAAAAAGTGCCATCCAGTCGTCTGGGACAAGTAGATTTTCCTGCTGGGCAGGCAGCTTTTCATTCTCACTTGCCCAATGGGCAGGGGATCAGGCAAGCCATCTTAGGGCCACTTGTCTCAAGGGCAAGCTGGAATTCAATTATTTTTTTTCAAGCCCTGATAAGCCAAGTGTGTTTTTCACAGAGCAAAACCACCTCATGCAAATATTTACCAGAAATAGGGTAGTGTATAGCTTCCTTATTTTAAAAGATGCATATAATAATACTATTATGATATAATAATAATAACGGCATATTATAATAGTGATGGCATATTATATTATTTATTTTATATATATATATATATATATATATATATATATATATATATATATATATATATATATATATATATAT